TCACGGTAGGTCGTTAGACGGGCAATTAAGTTCCGGGTATTTATCAAAGATCGGTCGAAAAGTTAGATCAAGGATCGCCTTTATCTTAATGACTGACAAGCTGGAACCCTTGTAGGTGGTGCCTTTGATAGACAGACAAGTAGTATTGTCAATTAGTCGTTTTCAGTGGATTTCTACGAGTAAATCATGATGATTAAGTAGGTCCGTGCTAGTGATGGGCATTGTGACGTCAGCGAGTAGGAAAATTCACTGAATAGGTTTACGTAAACCTACGTTCAGATAGACGTACTTCCTACCAAAAGTTGCGATTGGTTTTCCATTTGCAGCCTGTAAGTTGAAGGTAGGTTCCTTCTGTCAATCTGCTGCTGTAGCAGGAAAACCGCTGACTTCGGCGCCTGTGTCGACTAAATATCGAGTCTGGCTGATCACATCATGTATATAAAGTAGGCGGCTAGTGCCACCGGCGACGGTTGCCGCTAAGGCGTGGCGACGGGATAGTTTCCCACAAACTTTGAGACATTTCCAAAGTTACAAGGCTTACGGCAACATTTCACTGCTTGACCGTAGGTGTTGTGGTATCAGCATCAGTCAGGGTTTTTCAGAGAACGTGGTTTGGACTTAAATCGACCACGTGAGTTTCGCCGTTGAGGGGATTTAGGACGACGGTGGGAGGAGTTAGAATGCATGTTTGACCTAAACATCTGCTGGATGGAGTTGCATAACTCTATCGCTGCAGTATCCTTATTCGAAGTCTGCTTGTCCACCGAGCATATTTCAGGAACTGACCGTTTAGTTATTTCTGGAATCTTATCTGCAGAAATGGTTAAGTCACCTATAATAACACCCTGAAGTGTCACAAGTACAGTCTGCACGGACTGTGGCAGCTTGGATTAGAAGAGTTTTCTAAAAAGTCCTTCATCGAACTGACTTTGGCCAATAACCTGTCTCATTCTTATTGGCATGGTCACGGCTGACTGATCCCCTAACTCGATGTTACGAAATAATTCATCAAGACGTTGTTGGTCCATGATAACGTTTTCCTGATGAGGGAGCCTTTGAGCAACCCATGAGAGTTACTTACCTGGGGACTTGACATCTGCAAAGTTACGCGCTTGCTGAATTCCCGCAGTAGGGCGTGAATAACTGCAAGGAACTGTGAACGTTGATTGGTTATCCCATGCTCACAAAAATCTGATTCAGCTATCTGAAACCACGTTTCAGCATTATCTGGCCAGTGTGGTACGAGCTGAATGGTTTCAGGAGTTGAGCGGATACGAATGACCTTGGGACTAAGATCACTCATGACGAAAATTATGTCGAATAAAATATAGTACAAGAACAAATACAAGATCTTATACCAACAACTTCTAACTTATTCGTGTACCGAAAACAAAGCAAAAGACTACAATCAACCGTCCAAATTAGGAGCTATATTTTGGAACCAAATCGCGGATTGAAGCGGAAGCTAAGCTAGCTAGTTATTGTGCACGACGGAGTACCAAATGGTTGGGATGCTTGACGGGAAGCATTCAGCTAAACAAGTAGACCTAAACTTTAAGGGTCAGCATCCAATGTTCCCTGATGGTTCTTATGGTCAATAATTTTGGGGAATTATTTACCGCTACAGGCTTTTCTTATGGAAAATTCAGTTGAAATCTACTACTAGCTATTGGAAACAAAGACTGGCTGAGAATGTTGGAGACTACACTAGGTGGGATCGTAGTGGATAGTCATCGAAACTAGATTACGTTCTAACTGGTGGCAACTTGTCAAAAATGTTCACACCATGACCCCACTAGGAAGTATTGACCACGTAGTCAGAGGCTTTGCTCTTTTTCTCAGTGAGCGCTTACAGCGGGATTCTGAGCGACAATGTCTGTGATACAAGAAGGCTGGTTAAGCTGGGATGTGGACGCATTTGTCCGATGCGCAATGACCCATAGAATTGGCTGAGTTATCTGTGGATGAACACTGGAAAGTGGTAGTTGAGAGAGATTCCTCAATTGGCAATCTCAGATACCGTTCCTCTAGTCACAACACAGACGAAAGAAAGGTCCTCACGTCTGAAGAGAGGTACGCAACGTTTTCTGCCAGCAAAGCAGAAGGCTTGGTCTACGTGGCGTATATCCAAGAGTCAAGCCAACCGCAATCCATACCTGAAACTCAGGAACCGGTGCAACACAAGAGTCAGGAGTGACAGGAGGTCATTTCATGCTAATCTTACCAAAAGCTTCTGGAGAGCCCCAAAAGCCTGTGCCGATTATATAGGGGAGCAAGCCAACCAACCAGTGGGCATGTGCCTTAGTAGGTCCAAGCGGTCAATAACTTGCTAGTCTCGAAGTGGCTGAAACATTCAGTTCAGCCTTCACCAAACATTCAAACGGTAAAGTGGGTATTAATGGCACTGAACAAAATGGTGGCACTACTATTTCACTGGGGGAGAACCTAGTGGCTACTCTCCAGATAAACTCGGAAATAATACTAGGGAAGCTACAATGACTCACATCTGGAAAGTCTCCAGGTTGTGATGACATAAGGCCATCTGTTCTGGAAAGGTACGCCGAAGCACCCTATAGGCCTCCATGAGACTTGTTCCAACAATTGATGGATTCAGGGAGACGGCAGGGGAGGGAAAAAGAGCCGTACTTTCCCCGACTTTCAAGGGCGAGGACAGGCGAAATGCCACCAGTTATAGACCAGTAGAGCTATTCCCAGCGGTATCAAAGGTACTGGAGAGTAAAATTGATGATCGCATCAGGGAGCACGTCGACAGGACCAGCACATTCCATGAAGGACAACATGGCTTCGGGTTAAGCGGATCCTTTGTAACAAACCCACTACCAGCTCGAGACGATTGGAAAGCACAGTGGAATACTAATATTTCAATCCATGTGGTTTTCCTAGAATTTGAAGAGGCATTTAACACAGTTCACCATGATCTTCTCCTACACGAAATAAGTCATGCAGATATGGGTGACCCGCTTCTGTCATGGTTGGACTACCTAGCTGAAAGAAAATTTTGTACTAAGGTCAATCAAGTCCGATCACCCTGACACAACTCGTCATCAAGAGTGTCTCAGGACTATATCCTAGTTCCACTGATGTTCTTTATTTTTATCGGTGACCTACTTTTTTGTATAAGCTGCACGACTCTTCTATACGCTGACGACGTAGATTTGGAGTGCAGTAAAGTGTTCGAAAGAATCAGATAGTTTGCAGGCAGACCTAAAGCTTCTGAAAGAGTGGGAGGTGGCGAATGGTATGACTTTCAACTTGAAAAATCCCAAAGTAGTGAAATTAGGCACCTGTAGGCTGCAGAATACAAGTTACCCCTTGTGCAACGAAAGCTTGTCCTGCACAACGTCGGAGCGTGACTTAGGTGTAGCCCCAAAAGAAAAAAAATAGACACAAGCGTGAATTACATGGGGGATGTAGAGAGGGCATATGCGATCATACACTTTACACATAGACAGTCGGGTTCACTCACCCCCGAGGTCTTTTTAAGGTTGTACAAAACGTACGTCAGATCACACTTTGAAGTGCACAGTATTATTGCACCCCCACTGCTTAGAAAGAGTCCATAGACGGGCAAAGAGTGGAGTAGTTGGTCTCCGAAATAAACCAAATGATGTTAGGCTTAAGAAATCAGGCCTATTCACACTTAGTAGCTGTCGGCTTAGGGGGATTTAAATAATAATCATAGGATTATGAATTACCAGAATCACCCAAACAAAGGTGTTCTGCCATTATGTGCGTACGGGCATCGTCGTGGAAATCCCGGAGGGATAGCTCACCAGAGGACAAAGACTCGAGTGCGCTCCCATTTCTTTTCCCTGCTATTTTGTAGTCATTGGAACTCTTCACCAGCATATGTAGCTGAAGCGCCGTCCGTGGACAGCCTTAACAGAGCGCTGGATTCTCATGTAGTCACACAAAGACTGCTTCCAAGCAGCCTGTTCCCTTAAAATTCCATTAATGGGTAGATATCTAAACTCATCGTTTCACTTCTTTACATTCTCTTTTATCTTACACTCCTGACTACTCCAGCTGCTAGACTTACACTTGTTGTTAATGCTATTATATGGATATATACTTATACATGTATGTAAATCAACCTCAAATCTAATTAGCTGTCTGTTTTTACTTTACTTCCTTTATTTCATTTCCTGTCTTATAGTCTGAATAATCTACACCAACTATATGTTTTTACTACTATTTTTTATTTACAGCTTGATTCCACACTGTATTTTCGGTACAAGTATGGAATTTTCAGCATGGATATCGGTAGCCAAAAGTTTGCAGGCCGACCATAAATACCAGGTGTGCATCGGAAGGGGATCGAACCTCGAACCATGTGCATGGTCGACGAGAGTCCTAACCACTGTGCCACCGACGCACACCGAATGACTGACCAGTGAAGGTATCAACTTCATTAAAGTAGAAGCAGAAACACCACATACTACAAACAACATATAACTAATGCGAGCACCACTCCTTTTGGAGCCAACCAAAGCTATGACAGTCAAGTGGCGGGACGAACTACTCAGAAGTTTACCGAAAACCAGGAGCCTTTACCTCACAACCAAGACGCGAGCACCAAGGAATCAAACTAGTTTACACTAGCCCATAAATAACGAAATCGGTTATTCGATAAACATCACATAATTTCGTAACTTTCGTGTTCGGAGTTCGTCTGTATCCGCTCTCAAGTATGTTATCTCCCACTTCATGATACCTTCTGCACTCACTTCTTGCTAAAATAACTCAGTGGGACTGCAAAACTTTCATAAGACATGGAAACCACACAGTACTTCAGCCGTATTTTTATTTATTCTATTCAATGAACACTGCAGATACCTTGCACTTGAAAAGGGCTTAGAGCTAAAAAGACCTTATCACTCACAGAGGAAACGTTTCTGTGTAAAATGAGAGATTATATAATCAAGAAGTCACACCTTTGAAATTCTCATATTTGGGCCTTTATGTGGTGTGTTGGGATCACTCACTTTTCAAGGTCACACTAAGGATTAATTATGAAACTGTAAACATACTGCGTCGAACTTCCTGCTTTGGATGATTATAGAACAACGGCTTTGAATTGTTCTCACTGATCAATGAACACATCAGAGGGCTTAGTTCAGCCGACAAGGAGTGACTTTAAAGAAAGTTGGTTGTCCCCTGAGATAGGTGAAAAAATTAGTCTGGTATGTTTCCTTCCGTATCATTATTTGCCAGGTGCAAGAATGGATTAATGGTACAGGGCAGAAGTTGCTGGACTCTCAGACATCCAAGCCGTACAATTTTGAAGAAGCGTCGCAAATACGTAAAGCACATGAACAGTTTGAATTTAAGTGTATGGTTAGTTGCTACTGTTACTCTCATTTCTGTGTAGAAAGCTTTGGAAGTTTTCGCTGAGCTTTGTGACTACAGGAAACAAAGCAGCATTAACTTGGAGCTGAGTGAGCTGGATTACATGGTGCAGAGTTTTGTTGAGAAACTTAACAAAAGGACATTTTTTGTCGTTTCATGTTACACTTATTTTAGACTGGTTGAAGAAGTAATTTCAGTTTTAAAGCTTATATCTTTTAGCTGTGGTCAGTCTTGGAAGAGCTTCAAAAACGAGCCAAGGAGGTGGACACATATGATGGCTCATCTATCAAGAATGCCATTAGTGATTTAGAGAATGGGGTTGAAAAATGTGAGGTACGATTAAATGGATTGGCTCATGAACTGGAACGGCTCAGAATAATCTTGAAACCATCTGATCCCGATTATCTAGGACAGTTGGAAGATGGTTTCAGAGATGCCTGTCGAGCAGCTACTGAGGCAACACAATCGCTTAAGATCCGAAAACTTGTGCTAAAGAAACATTCCAAAGTAAGTTAGAATTTTTTCAATATTTTAATATTTATCCACTGTAAACTAGTTTTAGTCATTTACCCTATTTTTATGCGTTGGAGGAGTAAACGGTATTCAGAGGTTTTTAAAATTCTCTAAAGCAGTAGCATATAAACACTAACTGTGTGGTTTTTCTGTCACATACACTTCTACCTTTCTTGTTTCCATAGACATTTGTGTGTTTTAAATCTGTTTTATAACCTTATTATTGCGATGAATGATATAAAATTATTTCTAAAAAGTTTCAATATTACTGCAGTGTTACTGGGTACAATTTTGATAAAGTATCCATGGAAGCATCAAGGTATTTGTGAAGAAAGCATTTAAAATCCCTTATTGTTATTATTACCATTATTATATAAGTCGACATTTCACTCTTGCATTCCACTAGTAAAGATGAATGGATATGTTATAAAGTTACAGTAATCTATGTGAATATGAAGACAGCATTCTTAAGATGCATTAAAATGAACTTATCTAAAAGCAATTATATTTTCCTTTAAAATGCGTTCATGCTGTCTTATTGAAGATAGATGTGTTTCAATGATTGTATTCTGAAAACATATTTAGGTTAGGCAAACATTCCGATTTTCAAACCCTTTAGATAGGTGCTTATTTGTTTGCCTTTATCAAAGACAAATTTCAAACGCTCAAGTCGTTATCTGAAAAGATGAAACCATCTTGTAATTGTTCAAACAATTGTGGTGAAAACAAACAGGTAAATCGCAAGTGGTACCCGCAAAGTTTCAAAAGGTGCACTCATGCCTTTTTATGCAAATAATTTTCGTCTTTTATTACCAGTATGATCTATCCTTCAGTTTTTACTCCAATTTCTCATCTCTCTTTTTTGGTTTTTTCTTCATATCATTTACTGGTTGAATACCAGTTGTTAATCCTTTCCTAATGAAGTATCTCTTTAATACTTATGCAGATTTTCATGTGTCACCCACCACGTAGTCTTCTTGAGTTGATAAAGGTGACCTTCTAGTGTGCCGTCATAAAATTTGACTCAACTCTTTATCATACTGTTTACGAGGATAAGTTTACTTATTGATCTCTTGGTTCCTTTTAGTTAAATATTTTTCAACTTACACCCTCTTATACTTTGAAAGACATCCCTTAGGTTTATTGACTGAAAGTTTCCCTTAAGTTTGATAACTGAAAGCGTTGATTAGTAAAGTGACATGAATTTCTTTGATTGGAGACTAGTCAGCAACTAGTCTAGTCCTTGGTTTGATACAGGCTGAATTCTTGTTGGCGTATCCACAATCTTGAAGGAACTCATGTCCCTCTTGAGATTCTAACCTGTGTCATCCAATACCGAAGTCACAGACGTCACCACTGACCTTATTCGGACACTCAACAAAGGGCTAAGCGCATGATACTGGTTAATAGCTAGTATCCAATAAAAAAATATCCAAAAGGGTCTTACAGGAGGTCACTTGCAATCCTGAATAGTTCAGTGGTAGCATCCGTGACAGCAGCACTGTAGGGCGCATGTTCAAATCTCAGGAAGAGAAAGAGTTCCTCCAAAAAACTGCTGGTACTTCTTGCCGACTGGTGAGTGCCAACATGCTCAAAACCTCGATTGAAGGCTTCCAGTATGAATTTCACTTAGTTTGTACTCAGATATATTAAGCATCATACTTATCATCACAACTTTAATCCTGAAGACAAAGGAGTGTTTATAACGAGGAAGTGAAAAGGGATCGTCTTTATGTGGAAGCTGTTTTTACCAATAAAAATGTCCAATTGATTCATGATGGTGGAGACAGCTATAGACCGAGACTGTGAGGTAAATATAAAAGTTTAAATTTTTGAATGATACGTCCAAGTCTTTGTCTTTACATTTTAACTACTTATTCCTCGTAAGCACCTTTGTTTACTAGCCTCTATATTCCTTCGGAGGAAGGTAACTTGTAGGGACTTCTGTTAGTAGTATAACTCTAGTTTCTGCTAAGGAATATAAAAGTGGAAGATGCTGAAAATTGGAAGGCGGTTTCCTTGATTGAATAGTGTATATGACTGAGTCTTATTTGGGTTACTGTATCTTTAAAATACTGGTGAAAAGATAAAACGGTAGAAAAGATAACTAATTGTAAAACATTTGAACCACTGGACTTACAAGGATTCAAATCCGTTATTATATCCACACGGCTCAGGAGTTTATTTTTCGATATTGAAGAGGCAACATGTTTTTTTACTGGAAAAGGTCTACCTGATAAAGTAAGATGATTGTTTGTAAACAGAGTCACGTCTTCTTGCAACTTACTGTGAAATTATTTGGAACAAGCTCTACTTCTTTGCAGGCTAACTGTCTTTGCCGTCCATAAATCAAGCTAATAGTATTCAAACATGTCAGGTGTTTTTAAAATGTCAATCGAAGGAAATAAATAATAATCTTAAATATTAGTCAATCCGGTAATACCTGACTAAGATAGTTTAAATTTGACATTTTGGTGACTGTATCATTATTGATAGGTGAAGTGATGCTTTAGTAAAACCTCTGGTTAACAGTTTCCACGTTATCATTTGCTAAACAGGAACAAAACAGTAAAAGATAATCTTCAAATTGTGAAACTTTGGAGCTGGTTGGGGTTATTATTATTATTGATATCATTTTCTATTCTGAAGATGAAACTTTGAATTTTCAGTAGCCGTTGGGGTTTGCTGGGGTGCAATTGATAGTATCAAGCTCGACCCTTCCCTCTTCACTGGACTTACTATTGTCTAAGCTGGGCTTAGAAGTGTGTCGACTGGATGTCTACCCAGTACCATTGACCCACTGACATACGGGTGGTTGATATTTTGGTTGTCTACTAAAATGCGTGATATAAAGTTCGTATTCTTTTAAACTCTCACTCTGGTGTATAGCTATGTTTCTTTTAGACTATCAGTCGAAAAAATGCCCGCTGTTCTAATAAATTTTCCAACGTGTGTTCAATTCATTCAAATTTTCGTAATCAGTATAATTACGGTTTACTGAAATAAAAGCATTCTCATGTTAATAAGGACAATGGCATCATTTTTTGTGTGTATATTGAGTTCATGTTAGTGATGATAATAGTGCAGCATATTGATAATTTATAGAACCGAATGTTTAAATCGCACACCACTATGCGAGGCTCTTTATGAAAGGTGTTTTTTGTAGTTAAGCCGGTTATTATCTTTAATGCTGCATTAGATGTGATTATTTGTATTTTCTATAATTGGTTTGTAAGGGTTAATTTTGTTTTTTTACGAGTTGATCACGGATTGATATCAGTTAGAGAACCATTGAAAACCAACACTGGAGTACTGGACAACCAGCTGTTTCATTCTAGTTTCTGGGAATCATCGTCAGTGCGCACCCACCCCACAGAGGTTCGAACTTAGGGCCCTCCGGTTACAAGGCAAGCTAGCTCGTATACCATTCAGCCACTGGGACCCGATTCAATAGTCCATTGGTTAGGGTTGCGCTAAATCACGAACTGGTAGAATTTAGAATTCATGAGTCATTGAATAGGGTCCCAGTGGCTGAATGGTATACGAACTTGCTTGCTTGTGACCGGAAGGTCCTGGGTTCGAACCCCTGTGGGGTGGGTGCGTACTGCCGATAATTCCCCAAACTAGGATGAAACAGCTGTCCAATGGTTCTCTAACTGATAATTTGTATGCTACGAATACCTACTCAATTGGCAATTCCTCCAGTCGAAACCATAGTGACGATGATTTTTATTCAGCGTTGTCTTTTTTTGAAATCTCCAATGGAGTGATGGTTCTCAAGCTTTCTGTCTTTTTGTATCTATCAATTGATTGTACCAGGAATTATGAAACATTTTATGAAAACTTTAATTAATTAATTAACTAATTAATCGAAATCATTATCTGTTGGACTACAAAACATGGATAACCGGATGTTGAGCACCAACCTATTTGTTTCAATAAGCTATGCGTTATTACCAACAGGCCTCGTTGTATATCTTGCTATCACAGTTTTATTCTTTGTTTTACAAGCAGAGTTTACTATTATGATGTACCTGCATGCCCAGTGTAGTGATGACTTTTTCACTGAGGCATACGATCAGCCTAGGTAATTTTAAACACTAACAGGCCATTGAATCAGGTCCTAGTGGCTGAATGGTATACGAGCTAGCTTGCCTTGTTCCCGGGAGGTCCTGGTATCGAACCCCTATGGGGTGGATGCGTACTGCCAATGATTCCCAAACTAGGCTGACGAAATAGCCGTGCTGTCCAGTACTCCAGTGTTGGTTTTCAATGGTTCCCTAACTGATATCAATCCGTGATCAACTCGTAAAAAAACAAACAAAACTAACCCTTACAAACCAAACTATAGAAAATCAATTACCGTCTACACTGGGTTTAAATCTTCAGATGAATGTCTCAATTTCTTATCAATTCAGGAGAAGAGTATCATTTAAAAAAAACACTCAAACTCACACTCAAAGGAATATGAAACGAACGAGAATTTGGACAGCCTTGTTCTTATATACTCTTTAGTTGGCCTAGTTACATGTTATCGTTACATCTGTTGTTTGATTTTAGCTGACTATTATATATATATTTAGGAATGATCATTAATTTGGAGAAAGTGATACATTGAACCAATTCGGCAATACGTGTGTGTAATGTGGTGAGGGTGGTGGTAGTCTGTTATACTACTAATAATAATTAGAATGTTTGGTATGCTGAATAGTACATTTTATGCCTATGGTTTTTTGTACTGAAATTAGCCAGTGTTTATGTGTAAAAGTTTCTGAGAACTTGTTTTCTATATGTATTGTTTCTAGCGTCTTTGGGTGAAAATTCGATTGTACTTTTATTTTATCTTTATGTGAACACCAGGATTTTGTAGTTAGTTATCTGTGTTATTGATTATTTGGTATGTAATCTGGCAAAAACAACAGTTGTTAACATCCTACCTTCGCGTGTTCAAGGTAGAGTGACTGGTGTAACAACAGAAGACAAGGGCCGGCAAC